AATTTCATTAGGGATTTAAATCTCAATGGAAGCTCAAGTTGCTGTATTAAGATATGAAAATTGTGCAAATATTGTTCCTTAGAATGATGTTTGCCGCAGGTCATTGAGTTTCAGTCAGTGAAATTTAGAGTGATAAATGTCCTGCTGGAAATGAGCAGAGGAGGAAGGGGTCCTGGAGCCCAAGGAAGAGGCTGCAGTGTGGCACTCAGCCTGTGAGACACTGGGAAGGGAGGCGAGGGCCCAGCCTGAACTGGCTGCATCACCTCCAGCAAGCTTTTTTAGCATCTCTGAGGTCTAATGTCTTCATCTATAAAATGTGGGCTATACCCCACCCACTCCCCATGAGCTTGTGATCATGAAAGTTTAATGTACAAACCCAGCTAAGGCCTTGGGCACAGTTCCTGGCCCATGTAAAACAGGGACACATGTTAGCAGTGATTACAAGGGTAAGGAAGGAAGTGGGCTAGCATTTATCTGCCTCTAACTCTTTTTCAGTCTCTGAGATAGATGCCTATGGTTCTGCCTATTACTTGCTCAGGTGAAAAGCATGAAGTTTGGGAGCTATAAATCCTCCAAGTTCAAAAAGGGTAAATATACCAAATTCATCCACCTGTATGTATTGCCATGTTATTCTCCTTCAGCAGTCTGTAGGACCCTTAGAGCCTAAATCCTGCTTGATTACCTTTGTATTAACAGAATCTGAGTGATTAGATGGCCTTTTATAGCTGCTCAGAAAATATTGGAGAAATAGGTCAATGATTACATAAATAAACAAATGCATGCATGGACAAATGCAAAGCTTTTTCATTTTAAACTGTCTTAGAGACTTGGATTCTTAATGCTTATCTCACTTTTTATATTTCAAGGTATTCTGGCCTTTCTTCCATACACTAAGTAAGTGATCCACTGTTTCATAGAAAACAGAAATGAAAATAATTTATAAAGTTTCACAACCTAAATACTAAGAGCTCTCTTTGAGCACTTTCTTTTCCACCTTTGGGGTGAAGAATGTTCCTTTCATGACTTACACAAAAATAATTTTCTATTTTGTGGTTTCCCTTAATGGAAACATTTCATACCGCTGTCCTGGATTGATAATCTGATACCCCAGAAAAGATGTGCTGTGTGATATTTATGTGAAGATGATCCTATTGCCACTTTAGATGTAGTCAGAGCTCTCATCGTTGTAAGCGATACTGCAGTAACAATGCTCCGCGTGCAGGACATAGGCCTTGAGGGATAGGAACGCGGGCAAGTGAGCACTTTTCTCTGAAAACACAAAGTATTTGGAGTGGATGTCATGCTCAGGTTGTTGAAATGATAGACTATGTATGATATCCAATTGGAGACCAAAATTTGATTGTATCATTTAAAGGTAGAGATGACTTTATTTTACACACTTTGGATCATAGGCAAGGCCTTGTCTGGTCTCCTGTACTTGACAGATATTTTACAGTTATAGATGAAATAAAGTGATAAAAGGCAAGGGACAAAAAATAACAGAAAAGGCAAAAAAGAGAAGATGAAAGTGGGAAAAAAGGGGAAGAAAGAAAAGAATGAAAGTAAAAAACAAACTAAATACATAAGAAAAAAATTTTAAAAGCAGAGAAGAAACAAGGAGGAAAGAAGTCATTAAGTCTATTCTTTTATAAAAGTTTTCTCCTACTCCAAATATGCTAATCACCACAACCATGAATAGCCTTTTAGACACCAGCTTAACAAGCAGTGAAACCCACAAGATAACCAAACTCTCCACCTCACCATCCTGGCTGGTTGGATTACTAATTAGATTTTCAGCAACCTTCAGTTTCCTCATGGAGGGCTAAATTCACAAGGGACAGTGCAGGTAATGCCTGCAAGGCGGGCCACCTTGCCAGGATACAACATGGTTAAATGAAGACTCTTCTTGGTTAAGGGACTTTGCATTTACCTGAGGAAATGTGCCTAGAAATTCAAAGGGCAAACTGAAGATGTACATCTTGAAAAGATGGCAACATGCACACTAATCAGCAGGGGAAACTGCCTGTGGTCAACAGAAAATATTTTACTAAAGTCTGTGTTATGTACACTCAATATTCAGCAAACCATAATGCTGCTTTATGATTAGGAAATGCCTATCACTGTCTTTACTGAACTAAACAACTGATTCAGTAAAAATACACCCACTTTATTTCAACAGTAATTCAACTATAAGACCCATTGAAGAAAAGCTATTTACAGATAAAGGAAAAAAAAATACACATTTTACCAGAACTGTGGATTTTACAATAGGAAGTTACTTATGAAGCCATACACAAGAAGAAGCTAATGGCCACTCATTTCCTAGTGGCCAATTGCCCCCCTTCATGAAGAAAAAGTAATTCATTGTTAACTACAATAAATAGTGATATGCAATGAGTGTTTCTCAGAATGGAGTTTTCCAAGTTGGCTTGAAAACTTCTTATGCAATTGTATTTGCATATCTTTTTATTTTACTAAATGTTAATAGGTTTCCTATTATTTAAATTTAGCCAAGTGTGAGAAGCAGTGTGATAGTACAAGTTCCATTACACGTGATTGTGTAAATGATATGTTCTTTACATCTTTCTGTAGCCTTACTTGATACTGGGGGAAAGCCCAAGTGCCAAGGGGCAGGATTTGCTAGGATTTAGTTCCCATAAGTGGCCAGAGGTGGCCTGGCATCAGGAGGCCACCCCCATCCCACCAGAGAAGGCCACATGTTGGCTAGCCACAAGCCACGCTTTGAATGTTATGATTTGCTACCTCCTTCCGTTCTTGGCAATTTTCAGACAGATAGGAATATGTGAAAGACAAACTTCAGCAGGGTTGGCAACTGCAGCTCCAGGAAGAGCTGCCCAGATTAGCGCATCACAGAGAAGAAACGTGCTGGACCTACTTGGATCTGATAAGATGGAGTCAGTTTTCGGCAGGAACTGGTCACAACGGACTCCTTGGTAGCCTTCTTTGCACCTGAGGAAAAAGGAAAAGTGACATATGTGTACATGTGGTTGTGAAAGATTCGCTCCATGATCTCACCAAGGAAAACATACACATGTGAGAACAGCAAATAATTATGTATTTTTTTTCATTCACCTCTTTCTGACACCAACAGGCAGATTCTAGATTTTCTCTCTGAGCAGAGACAGAGACAGAGAGACAGAGATATCAGAGCACAACTTAGCTTTTATAGTTATGTACGAAACATCTAAGGAATAAATTGAGTAGCATCTTAAGATGCCCCACTTAGAAATCTGTATAATGCTTTTCCTCTTGTTATAATTCTCAGAGCAGGTGCACTTTATGACACACATGATTTCTATATTCAGAACCATCAATCTGCAAATGGGTATTTTTCTTATAAAAATCAGTTTTTTTCCAACATAGCACAGTAGTTGTAAATTTTAGCCATTGCTTCATTTTTTTCTTGTGTTTTATTAGTGTGTTCATTTGCTAATTTGGTGTTTCTGAATTTACTTCTTAGCTGTGCTTCCCCATCAATGTCACCTGACATCTTTGCCAGAAGTTGCAGTATTTCAAGGAGCAGGGACTAAGCTGCAGCTCTGTGTTTGGTTTTTAATTGTTACTTTTCAAGTTCAGCAAACCTGTGCAAACCACTGGCTTTCTGCCAGGGCTTTTACAGGACAACTGACCAGAGGTCAGCACGTTTGGAGGGAAGGAGGTTGCCCTGAGGTAGTGGGATGAGGCCTTACCCCAGCTATGCAGGCTGCAGCATCAGCCCTCACTCTGCCCAGCTTGGCCAACTGGACCGTGGTAGCTCACTGGCTGGAACTTCCAGAACAAACACAACTAAGCTCCTTCTCCAGCCTTGAGCAGGCTCTAAGTGAGAAGGTGACATTTAGAGGTCTGCCTAAAGCTCCGTCTGTCATCCTTGGGTTAAGCAGGGATGTAACTATTGTTGCTTCTGGGATGAATCTATCCTACTTTCGGAGGGGGAATTTGTGCCGCTGGAATAAAAGTCAGGTTTCAGAAACAATTTTCTAGTTGTTATCAATCTGTGAAACTGATGAAAATATTTCAGGGACTGCTGTGTTAGAATATGCTTTGATTTCTAAGTGTAATAAACTATAAGACAAGGTTTATTGCAAGCAGAGCAGGCTTACTGAATGGTGCCAAGGTAATTTTTCCACCTTATACTGGGAGCCAAGTTAGAATTCAGGTAATCAGGTTCTCTTCAATATCTTTGTAAGCCTGACTCTATGAACTATATTTAACAATTTTCCTTGTGGGTTGAGAACAAATATCTTTGGTCATGGATATACCTGGAAACTCCTAGAGTACTGAAACATTACTGGTTTACACAGACACACATTTTTGTAACCTTTTAAACAAATGTGTTTATTGTACTTGAAACAAATTAGTCCTATTGCTAGACTTCTAATGCTAAAAGTCCAAAAATAGTACTGAAACACATTTGTGGGGGAAAAATATATTCTGTCTTCTGAAAGCTACCCTGGACCATGTAACATTAATTTCCATTTTTCCATGGTCATGAGCTGAATTCTGAGTATGAACTATTGTATGCATTCATTTTCAAAGAGTTTTCCAACATGTGGGAGAATTCAAATATTTCTTATTCTTTCTATCGTTATTTAATATGAAAATGGTGTCCTGGGGAATAGCTGCTTTTAAGAACAAGTGCTTTTTGTTTTGCTTTGCTTTTTAAGGTTTCTTTGTTGCTTAAAACACATGATTCCATTTGTGTGCAGAAAAGAAAATAAGGAGAGGAGCTTGAGATTTTTCCAGTGTTAACCGGATTAGCCAGTATTCTGATTTCCTCTTGAAGTGCTGAGGCCTCATGCGGTGTCGGAAAAGTCTCAGGGCGATGACACTGGTACCGTCTTCCCATCCCTGGGCCATAGGAAGCAAAGTAGAGTGAGGCTGCTGCCACCTTCCACAGGCTGGGCAGCTCAGCAGAAACATGCGCTTGGTTATGCAGCAAACTCTGCCCCTTTGTGAAGGAGGCAGGAGGTGCTGCTAATTGGTTCCAGGTTTGAAGAATACCATATTAAAATTCCCATTTAAGAATCACCTATACATCACCTTGATGAGTTCAGACTCATCCGCATGTGAAGATGGAATGTCGCTCGCAGGCAAAGCCAATGAAGTGGAATGAAACCGAGACAATATTGAAGATAAGGTGCAAAGGGGAAAAAAGTCCCCCAGTGGATTTCCCTTGTATAGATTGAGACTGGCAGATCTCCTCAGTGTGATAAGCACACTTTTGAAAAATATCATTGCACTGCTTGTTTTTGTTTCAGTTAGAGTAAAGGTGGTGAGAGAGTTACAGAGGGATTCTGTTTGAAAAACAACAATAACAAAAGAAACATATGAGAATGATCTTTTGGTGGATTTAAAATATGTAAGTTTTATTAAAACATATACATGAAATTATTAATGGTAAATGCATTTTTAAAGCTCAAATCTTGCCTTGAGCTAGTTCACAGTCTGTCATTATTCTACTCTACCTTCTTTTCAAATCCCACTCAATCCATCTGGTTTCTTTATCCCTTAGAATCTGTATACCACAGCAGCTATATTAAAAGTCACAATGCTCCCCGGTTATTTCCAGGGACATTTGCTCCTGCAATCCCGTGGACTTAGAGCACATGGTGTGCTCAGGACAGGAAATGCATTCAGAGTTGACAAAGGGTCGCATCAAGAGAGAATTAATGCCATCAATGAAATAAGCACAGAGCAAACTTGGAATGCAAGAGGTGAGACATTTTACATTGAAAAATAAATAGCCTCAAATCCAGTGCGCTTATTCTGGGTTGAAGAAGATGTTTCTTGATCATGCTGTTGGCTTTTTATTTCCCAATTTATAAAGAAGGGCATGATTGAGGGTATAATACCCAAGACAGACAAGAGCAGGTAAGAGTTTGTGGGGAAAACTGTGATAAGTTTACTTGGAAATAAGGGAGAGTTGTCCACATAATGGAGGAAAACGTAACAGGAAGAGGGTTGCTGGGCCCAAGCTCAGGAGGGAAAGCTCTGTGTCCTCATGAGCCAGGGCTCATCAGAACCCAAGGCCCCTTCTAGGGCAGAGATTGCTGTGCAGTCTCAGATGCTTGCAACACCTTTCTCCTCCTTACCTCACTCTCACTTTGCCCTCTCCCCCATCCTCCTGTTCAGCTGACTGTGACATAACAAGCACCCACTTCCGGTTATTTTTTTCCTCCCACACCACCCCCAAGGAAAGGCCCAATGGTGAGTTTCAGTGAAAAACTTCAAGAAGCAACCCTCAAGGAAAAGACAAGAAAGGAATAGTGAGAAAACATTAAAATACAAGACGCATTGTCCTTGGCTGGGATTCAGTACGTGTTTTGTCTGGTGCAGCAAGCAAGAGTGGGCCACACTGTCCTGGGCTGCCTGCGGAGGACTCCAAGGGACTCTTGCTATGTTCAGGTCTTAGGCTTGTGTTCTGGAAATCACTGTGCTGGAACTGGCTACCAGTGAAGACTCTGGCCACAAGCCTGCACTGCTAACTTCACCTCTGCTTGCCAAACCTCCTATGCCAGTGCATGTGTGTGCGATCAGACCCGGAGCAACCGCGGGGTTAGAACTGGAGACACCAGGCGTGGTGAAGTGAAGGCTGAAGCACATCCAATAGGCACAGCCTCCCCCCACTGCCTGGCTATCCTCGAATTTCTCTCTCTTTGGGCTGCGAGCAAAATAAAATGAAAGAACAATAGCATAAAATTGTTTCACTGAGTGAACTGAACTATCCTCTAGTCTCCTGGCTATTCATTCCATGGAAGGTGTTACTGCTTTATTGCTGCCTTCTTTCCTGCTTCTTTTGTCTTGCTTCTCCAGAATTAATAATGGACACAGTTAGGCCAGCCACACCTTTTAAAAACTGTCTTTCTCATTTATATCATAATGACTATAACCACTGTGTATATATTCTAAATTTTCTACTCAGTTTTTATTTTGTTTCCACTTATTGCTTGCATTACAGTGACTTGAACATAGGGCTTTCTGCACACTGAACAATAGCTTCATCACTGAGCTACATGGCTATGTCATCTGTAAATTTAGTTTTATTTATTTATTTATTTTGTACTTTAGGGAAGGGTCTTCGGGGTGTTCAGGGTCTCACTACTAGATCGTACTTATAGTGATACACCTGTTTACAGCCTCCCAAGAGCTGGGATTACAGGAGCGCACCACCAAGCCCAGTCTCAATTGCCATCTCAGGGCACCCCAGGAACAGAGCCAGCACGACAGGTTCAGGGATAGAACCCCCAGGCCCTGAGCCTGCTTGCAGGTGCTTTAATCCACTGAGCTATTTGGCCAGCACTTGTCATGTGTAAATTTCATTTTGAAGGGAGATCTTGCTAAATTGCCCAGGTTGGCCTTGAGTTTGCAATCCTTCTGCTTCCTAAATCACTGGTACTAGGGATATGTACCACCATATCAGACTTGTATTTAGTTTTTGTGTGGGTCTGCTTTAGATAAATTATCTTTATCATTATTTTCAAATTTAAAGTCAAAATCAGCATGATAGTAAATAGAAAAGTAATATAACATAATTAGTTCATTATGTACATTTCCATTTGGGACAAGAGGAACACAGATCTCCTCAAATGTTTGTGTCAATCCCTGTACAGTACTTGGTCTCTGCAAAAATTCCATAGGAAGTATACAGACCTTCTTGGGGGCTTGATTTTAGGTGTAAAATGCTAAATGACATTAAGTAATCAGTGAAAGAAATGGAGGCAGGTAAATTTTGTA